CCTCATGACAACACCGTATATATATTTTTAATCCTCTTTACCAGGGAGGCGATGAAGGCACCCAGAGGTCACACACGCAATGAGGTGGAAGGACCAGCTCGCGGGGAGGGAAGGCTTAGGGGCATGTCTCCTACTTTTCATACCAGCTTCAGGACCAAGCAGCACTCCTTGTCTGACAACTGGGGGCTCTAATGGGGGGCTTTAACTAGAATGGACCAATGTGTCGTGTGCACGCACGGGTGTTTCTTTTTCCCTTTGAAATGCCCTCCTGACTCGGACAGGTACAGGCTGGTGGCAGGCTGCTCTGTTGACCATTGGAGAGACTCCCAGATAACGGGGTGAAGGCTCAGGTTCAGGTTGTCCGGCTCCCCCAGAAAGCAACTCCTGCCTGACAGACAGACTTCTGATTTAAGGCTGTCTCAAACCATCACTGAGGCTCTACTGCCCAACAAATAGCCCCCTTCGGCGTGTGGGGCGTGAGGCTCTACTGAAGAGGGCTGCAGACTGAAGATTCTGGGTCGTCTTCTGCCCCATGGCCTGGAGGCTCAGAACCCACCTGGTGTGTGTTCTGGGTTTCTGCCTGGTGTGTGTTCTGGGTTTCTGCCTGGTGTGTGTTCTTCTAGGAGATGCTGTCTAGCCGTGTGACCAATGTGTGAGGCAAATATTTCCTAGGACGCCTCCTGGGGCAGCCAACTCTCTCCAAAACCCAGTACACGACGGGACACGTTTTTGTAAAAAATAGAACCTCTTTCCCCCTATGCCCTAGCTCCAGCCCAATGCGTTCTCTCCAGGCCCTATGGGCCTCTTCCTTCCTGGGCCTTGACTAGCTCATCTTTCACTTTCATTGAGGATGTTTGATTCTGTTCTTGGTGACAGACTGAGGGGTTAGAGGTCTCTCTCGGGCAGAGGGAGGGGCTGGGGTGGTCTGTGCATTCTCATTAACCCCGCCACCTTCCTGCCCCTCCTTTCCAGGGATGGTGATGACTTATGATCAAGGATGTGCAGTTAGACGAAATCAAGGAGTTTTTTTCTTAGAACCAAACATTAACAGGAGAAAACAAATAACTCCTACATGAAACCCAAAAGCCAAAAAAAAAAAAAAAATCCAACAAAAACTTGGCGTGCCTTTAGGGACAAAAAAATTTCAAAAATAGTCTTTCAAAGCGCCACCCAGCAGGCCTTCCATTTAAGCCTTGCAACTGTTACAGGATGACTACGGCTTTGAAAGTTTCCCCTTCTCATCCTGAATGATCAAACATCTTCTCTGGCTCCCCCTCTCTTTTTTCTGGCCTGAGTAGAACCACCATTGCGCCGGGCGCGCACAGCCTCAGCGGGCCCCGTCGTGGGGGCAGAGCCCCACGCAGGCTGGTTTTAGCCTCGGATCGGCCTTTGTTTTCTTCTGAGCCCACAGAGATCACATTCAGAAATGCAGTTGGGTTTTCTAGGGGAGGGCAGCCTCTGGGCACCTACCCCTGGTCTTCCGGGGTGCTAGGGTGGCTCGGGCCAGCTTCCCAGAGCACCAGAGCCTGGGATGGGCCAGGCATTTGCCTTGATGACCAGTGGCCAAGGGGACATTTTTCCGGACGCCTGTTGCTAAAGTGCACTAGGAATAATGTCCCCCCCCACTCCGTTTTGTTTCCAAAGTCAATTTATTGAGGATTAAGTCAGAAAGCCAGTGATAATCATTTTAATGAAAAATAGCCTGTATCACTTAAGACTTAACGGAACAAAAATACCCTTAGAAACACTGCTTTGAAAAATACTCACATTAACTTTGCACACAACAAGAGTCCTTTCTTAAGCTTTATTTAAGAAATCGAGTACTATATAGTTCAATATATATAAGACACATCCAGTATTGTGTTCCTGATAGCAAGTGCATAGATTTTGTTAAGATTTCATTTCCACTCGATATAAACGTTTCATGGTCACACGAAGATAATATTCCCAGCGATTCTGCCCAAGCATGAGAGAAGAGAACAGAACACGGCAAAAATAGTGAACTACAACAGAGATGAAGAAACAGAAACAGCGAATTAGCAGAACAGTCGATTCCTGATAAGTGAATAAGCTGATTGCTCGGTCACAACGTTTTATTCACTTATCAGGAATGATTCACAGTCCACGTGTGTTTACTGTGCTGCCTAGCCTGCCAGCCAAGGGCCAGAGCCCGTGGCCTGCACAGTGCTGCTAGGGGCCGGGCCCACTCGTGGCTTCCCTCGGCAAGGTCAATGTTGACAGTTCTGTAACTTCCCAAGGTACTCCGTGCGAGACACCCCTCTTGCTAACACTGCAACGGTGTTGGACAAAACCAAAGCCACGAGAGGAAATCTAGCCAGGGACCGGTGTTACCAGTCGGAAGTGCTTGAGAGAACTAGCTTTTCTGTCCCCTTCTGTGGTTGTAACAGTACACACTGGCTTTCCTTCCTTTACTTGGCACGAGCATTTTGTATCTGTGTAGGAAAACAAAAATCCCTTGCATCTTGCAAAGAACCGATCACCCCTCTCTCCCTCATCCCTCTCCTTCACAGCCCCATTTGGAGAGAGGAAAAAAAAAGGAGGGCAAAGATCTCATATCCCTTTGCCATCTTTCCCTTACCCCTGCAAGCAGGGGTGTTGAGAGATTGACCGCCGAACGGTTGGCAGGAGGTCAGCGGCTCCTGGCGGTGCAGGCTGGGGCTGGGGGGGGTGGGGCGGCACTGCCCTTGAGAGCCTGGCCTGTGGGGGCAGAGCCTCCTTTCCTCCCCTCACTGGGTGCCTCTGGTCACAAGCCCCTGGGGGCGGGGAGGTTGGGGAACCCCCGAGGGGAAAGGGCCTGAGCACCCACTGGGAGGGTCTCATTGGCGTCCCCAGGAAGGCTGCCAGGGGCCAGGGCCCTGAGTCAGAGGAAGCCTGTGCGCCTGAACACTGGAAGCAGAGGTAAGACGGGCCAACACTGATGGAACCTCTTAAGAGCACTTTGAGAGCCATCCGATTCCTGAGCATAAGAGGTGGGCAGAACAGGGAGGGGGGCCTATGGCAGTTTTAGAAGGTATGTAGGGAAGAGTTCCCCCCTCCCTCTCCCCTCTTTTTGATCACTAGGGTTGGGGTGATGGCCGAGCGCAAGGCTTTTTCTTCAACATTGGTTCAGCCAGGAGGGCGTGTGGCTGCCCAGGGCAGTTTTAGTTTGCGTTTAGACACGGACAATCTGCTATGAAGGCTTAAACACGAGAAACTGCACCCCCACCCCGCACCCCGCCTCCCTCCAGCGGACCGAGTGGAGCTTCCTTTTGTACACGTGGAAGGACTTCTCTTCATTCGTTTTAATCACTTGAAGCTGCTCT